GCCATGGCCATATTTGGGCAATGTTATTGCCTAAATATGGCCATGTGGCCATATTTAGGCAGTGATGTAATCCTTCTGATCCCTGCCCATTTGCTTACATGGCCAGGGATTCCCTACCATGTAAGTGAATGGGCCGGGTGGTGAATGGGCGCGGGTGGTGACATAACTGGTTGGTAAGGATGCGACAGGTGCTTCCTTAGCAACCATTGACAGCCAGAAGTTAGGCAGACCAGTCCTGCACAATCCTGGGAATATTTGGCGAAGGATTATTTGCAGCCTGTTTACAATCTCTGCTTGTCTGTCAATTAGATACCATTCCATCATTGGAATAGCATAAAATATGCTTACAGCAAATAGTGTCCCGCCACGCTTTGCTATTGCTGTGAGAAATTTTTCAAATCAAACTTTTCCAAACAGGTGGAACAGAAGGTAAGATCCAGTTAAATTGCCTACAAGGTCTCCTGACCTAACATCGCTTGACTTTATTCTTTAGGATCATCTGAAGTCAGTAGTCCATCAGAATCAGCCCAAAACAATCATTGCTCTAAAGAAGCAGTGCAAGCAACAACATCAGTCCTGCTACATTAAGAAATATTCAATGTGCTTGTGTTCAACAAATACATCAGTGTTAGGATGTGTCTAAGGCTATCAGTTTGAGCATTGAGCATGTATACTGTAATAAAAAAATTTTAAATTAATTTTTGCCAATGGATCCAGACTTTTGGGACACTCTGTATAATAGAAACCAATAGTGAACACTCAATCCAGCACACATGTATATATTAATCATATAAAACTTTTGTCTTTAGAGCTATAGGTAGCATGGTATAGGAGAAAACTGCAGCAGGAGGCACGATTATTTCAACTCACAGCGTTCGTGCTTATATGATGTTTTCCCAGACATGAAAACTGCTGAGCTTCTAATTTTATTTCTCTGGGGCGAACATGCTCTCCAGTTAATTTTACCTGTCATTGGTAAACAAGTCCTATGTCAGGGTTATTAAGCGGTAATAATTTGGAGGCAGCCCTGGGGGTTACAATCAAAGCATATAAACTCAGTAATCATTAAGAAGATCTGAGCAAAATGTAATGCAGGTTAAAACACTGCATCTATATAAAGCTTATCTTCCATATCATCCTGTATTGCCAGTGTAACATCATGGAAGGAGAAGAAATAATAATAGTAGCAATTATAATATTAATGGAACTCAGGAGTAAAATAAAGAGAATATATTTGCAAAATCAAGAAGAATTCCCAACAGTCTATGACATAATATGATTAGGGGCAAAAATACAACCTGTGAAACGTATGTTGCATAGGCTCCAGATGGATCTAGGAGACCCTGCAGTTGGTGATATGAGGTGGTGTTAGTGGTCAAGATGGAGGAAACCCTAACCTTACTTTTCTTAATCTGGAACTCTTTGTAGTGTGAAAAAAGTGAATTAACTCTGCTGCATTTACAAAGCTTATTCAAAATGACAGCATAAGTGGATCAATGTCATGTTTTAGAAGGTTGCCTGCTCATTGTTAGGATAAATTTACAAATGTACTGACTCATAGTGTATAATAGAATAAAACAAATACATGATCTATGCTTAACATTAATTATCCAATGAAATTAGTACAACAACCACCACCCTTGTCTCCTTCCAAGGGCTGTATGTCTATGGGGGGAATCCAGATGAAAGTATGAGAAAGATAGATAGATAGATAGATAGATAGATAGATAGATAGATAGATAGATAGATAGATAGATAGATAACCAATCAACAAAATAACATTTAAGTGTATTCTATTTTATGCTGTCAATATAAAACAACTAAATCTAAAACTGATTTAGAGGCACTCACAAGTCTTGCAGAGGAGGAAGATCAAAAACAGCAGTGTTTTTATGGTCAACTTTTTGAAGTTCAGTTCATCTTTCTCAAGACACTACAGCATAGAACTGAACAGACTAATAAACCCAAAGTTCCACCCACCAACAACACCCCTAGTGATAACCTCACACAGTGCAAGGGTTAAAAGACACATACATGGAAAAGGTAAAAAAAAGATCACAAAAGGAGTAAATCACAATAGTTCATCAAAAAAACAAATACACTGCTAAAAAATATTAAAGGAGCACTTTTAACCAGAGTACAGCATCAAGTCAATTAAACTCCTGGGATATTGACCTGGTCAGTTAAGTAGCAGAGGGGGTTGTTAATCAGTTTCAGCTGCTTTGGTGTTAGATAAATTAACAACAGGTGGAGTAGATAGGCAACAATGAGATGACCCCCAAAACAGGAATGGCTTTACAGATGGAGGACACTGATATTTCTTTGCTTACTCATCTTTTCTTACTGTTTTTCACTAGTTTTGCATTTGGCTAGGGTCAGTGTAGCATGAGGCAATACCTGAACCCTACAGAGGTTGCACAGGCAGTCCAACTTCTCCAGGATGGCATATCAATATGTGCCATTGCCAGAAGGTTTGTTGTGTCTCCCAGCACAGTCTCAAGAGCATGGAGGAGATTCCAGGACACAGGAAGTTACTCTAACAGAGCTGGACATGGCTGTAGAAGGTCCTTAACCCATCAGCAGGACCGGTATCTGCACCTTTGTGCAAGGAGGAACAGGATGAGCACTGCCAGAGCCCTACAAAATGACCTTCAGCAGGCCACTGGTGTGAATGTCTCTGACCAAACAATCAGAGGGTGGCCTGAGGGCCCGAAATCCTGTATTGGGTCCTGTGCTCACTGCTCGGCACCATAGAGCTCGATGGGCATTTACCATTGAACACCAGAATTGGCAGGTCTAGTGCACCTTTTATTAATTTCATTAACACCAAAGCAGCTGAAACTGATTAACAACCCCCTCTGCTACTTAACTGACCAGATCAATATCCCAGGAGTTTAATTGACTTGATACTATACTCTGATTAATGCCTATCAGTGCCATGTATCAGTGCTGCCTTTCAGTGCCCATCAGTGATGCCTGTCAATGCCCATCAGTGCCACCTACCAGTGCCTCCTCACCAGTGCCACCTATCAGTGTCCATCAGTGCAGCCTATCAGTGCCCACTACTGCAGCCTCATTAGCGTATATCAGTGAAGGAGAAAAATCACTTATTTACAAAATCTTATAACAAAAACTAAGAAAAAAACTTTTTTTTCCCAAAATTTTCAGTGGTTTTTGGTTTGTTTAAGAAAAAATAAAAAACCCAGAGGTGATTAAATACCACCAAAAGAAATCTCTATCTGTCACAAAAAATTGATAAAAATTTCATATGGGTACAGTGTTGTATGACCGCGCAATTGTCATTCAAAGTGCGACAGCGCTGAAAGCTGGAAATTGGCCTGGGCAGGAAGGGGGTATAAGTGCCTTGTAGACTGTTAAAGTTGAGTAAATTAAGTGAATATTCACTTTAGTAATCCAGTTATGTGAAAAGAAAATTCCTAGGTTTTCATTTGCACATGATTGCATATTCAAAGTGAGCCCAGCTACAATTTATTAAGTATAGACTTTAAACTCTTTCGTTACAGTGATTCTAAAGGAAGGATTTAACCGCATGCCGCCCAGCCACTGTACATATACGGCGGCAGGGCGGCACTCACAGGCAAAACCATGTTTTAAGACGTGTGTTTTGTAAACAAATAGAGGGCGCGCGTGAGGTGCGCCGCCACCGCCCTATTTGTCCCGCGGATCACCGCCGCAGATGTCAGTCGCCGGGTCACAGCCGCTCCTTAGCGGCTATGTCCCGGCGATCGGCGGCAAACAGTGACAGAGAGCACAGCTGCAGTAGCTGTGCTGTCTGTCACTTCCTTCTCAGCTCGAGGATGAGCTGATCGAGAAAGAACAGTTTCTCTTTCTTGATCAGCCTTGTCCCGCCCAGTACACACCCCCCCGCCCCCTAGTAAAACACTCCCCTCACTCCTATAACTCTTCCCTGAAAAATAAAGTTAACCCCCTTCCTCCCCATTGCCATTAGTACAGTGTCAGTTTTTTTTTTTTTTGCACTGATCACTGTATTAGTGTTTTTGGGGATGTCAGTGACCCCAAGTCATTACCCCTCAATGTCAAAATGTCCGCCGCAGTCTCGCTGGTCGCTGCCATAAGTCCCTGATCGCTGCCATAATTCGCTGATCGCCGCCATTATTAGTATATAAAAAAAAAAAATCCCAGTATCTTTCCCGCCATTTGTAAACACTATAACTTTCACGTAAACCAATTAATTTACACGTATTGGGATTTTTTTTAGCAAAGACATGTCGCAGAATACATTTTGGCTGAAATTTATGACTAAATTTGATTTTTACATTTTTTTTTGCTGGACATGTTTTATAGCAAAAAGTCCAAAATATTTTTTTTTCTCAAAATTGTCAGCCTTTTTTCTTTATAGCGCAAAAAATAAAAAAAGCACAGGTGATCAAATATCATCGAAAGAAAGATCAATTCGTGGGAAAAAAAGGACGTAAATTTAATTTGGGTGCAGTGTTGAATGACCACGCATTTGTCAGTTAAAATAACGCAGCGCCATAACACACACCACTTCTGTAACCGATTCCTGACCGCCCTATAGCAGAAATACTGCTACAGGGCGGCATGGGCGCACAAAATCACATATATATATACATGATTTGCACTCCCGTGGTTTTCAGATAGCGTCAGATTGCCCGTCAGTACACCAGTCATCACATTTAACCCCTTGATTGCCAGGAGCATGCTCATGCACAATAAACCTCCATTGCTAGTATAGCGTCTGAACGGATCAATATCTTTGATCAGATCAGCACTATACCAGCGTTCACATTAGTATAACGTCCCCAAAAACGCAGCGTTAGCGGGATCAGCACCGACACCTGCCAACACCTGCATTTTAGCTCATACTCTTACCCCCCCCCCCCCTTCTCCCCCAGCAAGTGCAGTGTCAGTAGGTCACTGTCACTTGATACATTGCACACAAAACCGCAGTGTTTGCAGAATCAGGCCTGATCTCTGTTAGCACTTGTCGTAAATTTTGAGGACTCTCATATGCAGCAGAGTGCCAGTACTAGTGCCGCACTACCTTCTGGTGAACTGGCGAGTACTAGTAGCCTGGTACATCCTGGTCTTTTACATACCTCTTAGATTGTAAGCTCCCAAGATCAGGAAATCCTGTATAATAATAATACCAGCACTGCAATATGACTTGGTGACGTGGCCAGTCCCATAAGTCCAGTACAAGCTGGTGCGGTGTCAAGCACAAGTATTGTCCCACAGCCACCAAGAATTCGCACACAGGCCCATAGAGCTCCTAGTATCCTTCCGGATGTGCTTGCAAATCCCGATTGACAGCCCACCAATTCTGCAGCACTCGTACTTCCCCCATTCACTGCCCAACCCGGAATTCAGGTGGAAATAACAAATTTAACTACTCCCCTTGATTTTTGGAGCTGTTTTTCACGGAATATCTGTATGCATTGATTGTGAATCAAAGCAATTTATATGCACAACAATTTATCGCCGCCAATCCAAATTCAAACCTTGCCAGACCAGTCTCATGGAAACTCATTACGGTTTCCGAATTTAAATTTTTTTGGGGCCTAACCCTCAATATGGGCATTACTAAAATAAGTGAATTGCGGTTGTATTGGTCCGCAGACTCGATTCATCATATGCCCATGTTCTCTGCTGCGATGGCCAGGCATAGATATGAGAGTATAATGTGTTCTATGCATTTCAAAGACAATACATTCTGTCATCCTCGGAGTGACCCTTAATTTGATTGGCTGCACAAAATTCAGCCCCTCGCAAATCACCTTAACCAAAAATTTGCAGATGTCTATACTCCCCAGCAAATCTGCGTTGATGAGTCCCTGATTAATTTTTCTGGCCGCCTTGCATTCAAACAATTTCTCCCCATCAAGCGTGCCAGATATGGGGTCAAGATATAGAAGACCTGTGAGAGGATAACAGGCTATACTTATAAGTTTTGGATTTACAAGGAAAAGATAGTCACGTGGAGCCCCCGGGAGCCTAGACCACATGGGGAGCAGTGGCAAGATAGTTTGGGACTTGGTGTTATCCTTTTTCCATATGGGGTACCACTTATACGTGGACAATTTTTATTCAAGCGTGCCACTATTTAGACATTTGTACAATCTTGGAACTGGAGCATGTGGACCATGTGGCAAAGTGTGACCTAATGTGTGCCCACCATTGAAGTGGGTGGATGCAGGGAGGAATATTCTAATGGTTACACCCAACAAGGACCAGCTACGTACTGGTACATCACTGGACTTTGAATGGTTATACCAGGATGATGCCTACAGCTGCAGGCATCATCCTGGTATCGTGTTTTCAGCCGGCGATTGGCTTTCATGTAAAAGCAATTACATGTCTTTTTTGCAGGGAGCAGTTTATTTGTAATCTTTTGTTTTGCCACAAAGTTGCTTTAGCTACTTTTTAGTGAATACATATAACTTAGAGCATAGCTCCACCCAAAAGGGGAAGTTCCGCTTTAAGGATTGGCACCTTTGGGGAGCCAGGGAGGAGGAGGGGGAGCAGGTACCCAAATTTGACAGGTACCCGTTCCAACTTACGGTGCAGGAGTTGACCTCCCCCCTCCCTCCCTGTAGTCTTCTGGGACATGTGACAGGTCCCAGAAGACTACGGGACCATTCACAAAGCACAGCACTACTCGTGCACCCGGCTATGAAGCCGCAAGCTGTCACAGCTGGGGGCCCACACTGAAGATACCAGCACCAGGGAGAGAAGACCGTGGTGAGGACACCTCTGGACCAAGGGGCAGGTAAGTGCTTGTATTTTAAAAGTCAGCAGCTACAGTTTTTGTAGCTGCTGACTTTTATTTTTTTTTTAATTCAGCTGGAACTCCTCTTTAATTACATTTTTAATAGCTGCAGTGAGTTCATATTTAAATAATTTTTTTTTTTTAAATTACAGTTCTTAACAGGAAGATTTGGCATGCATTGTTTTCTAGAAATAAATTATTTTTATCTTTACACATAATTCTATTCGCTGTATAAAAACACAGGAATGTTATGTCTGTATTTCATGCACATCACATACTCTGTGTAGATGAAATTTGCAACTCAAACTGTCCTAAAATGAAAGAACTGTATTTCTAAGCCAGAACACACAGTCCCACAGCCTGTTTAGCAGAGCTGCTCAACACAATCCTTTTCTTAGCATTGCCTGGGGCTCTGAAGATCTGATTCCTCAAACAAAGTCCTTCAGAAATAGAAAAAAAACCCTCCTGATAAATACTTTGGAAGACATAATTATTAGTGTTAACCCTTACATTTATTAGTTAAGCAGACTTGTAAACAACACCATGCATTTACTTTGCTCTGTCTTTATACCTGTTATTCAAGTGTTTCTGTTGCACCTCTGTGCATGTGCATATAGATACATTTAAATTAAATACATATTTACATTTATTATAGCTACAGTTGCTCCAAAGCATAGAGATTGGATTTTTAGATAAGCTGGTCCAGTTGGTATTCGCTAAGAATTCGAGTCAGAAAATGAGTTTAATGAATCCTCTACTGTACCAAGTATCTTTTCAAATTGAATATTGTGTATACATGAAATACTTACATGGAGTTCGGCTGTCAACCCATATAGTACCAGTGTATATTATACTTTACATGCATTTAAATGTTACTTCTTAAAACAGAATCTGCCAAACTTTGTAAGAAATAAGCAACTGTTAACCCTTTTGGGTTCCTTTAACACGTATTAGTGTGAGCAGATTGTACAGTAGTTAATACGTTCAACAGGGACTAAAAAAAAAATAACCTTAAAGGTTAAGGCATGAAAATGTATGTCTTCCAGTTAAAGTATATACAATATATTGCCAAAACTATTGGGCCATCTCTAAAAATAATTGGATTCAGGTGTTCCAATCACCTCCATGGCCACAGGTGTATAAAATCAAACCCCTAGGCATGCAGACTGCTTCTACAAATATTTGAAAAAATAGGTCGCTCTCAGGAGCTCAGTGAATTCAAACGTGGTACTGTGATAGGTTGCCACCTGTGCAATAAGTCCATCTGTGAAATTTCCTTGCTGCTAAATATTCCATGGTCAACTATTAGTGGTTTTATAACAAAGTAGAAGCAACTGGGAACAACAGAAACGCAGCCACAAAGTGGTAGGCCACGTAAAATTACAGAGTGAGGTCAGCGCATGCTGAAGCACACAGTGCACAGAAGTCACCAACTGTTTGCAGAGTCAGTAGCTAAAGACCTCCAAACTTCATGTGGCCTTCAGATTAGCACAACAACACTGCATAGAGAGCTTCATGAAATGGGTTTCCATGGCCGAGCAGCTGCATCTAAGCCTTTCATCACCAAATGTATTGGAAAGCATTGGATGCAGTAGCGTAAAGCACGCTGCAACTGGACTCTAGAGCAGTGGAGACGTGTTCTCAAGAGTGATGAATCATGCTTCTCTTTCTGGCAATCTGATGGACGTGTCTCATCCAACATCAGTGCCTGGCCTCACAAGTGTGCTTCTGGAAGAATGATCAAACATTCCCATAGACACACTCCTACACCTTTTGGACAGCCTTCCCAGAAGAGTTGAAGCTGTTATAGCTGCAAAGGGTGGGCAAACTGAGTATTGAACCCTACGGACTAAGACTGGAATGCCATTACAGTTCATGTGCATGTAAAGGCAGGCATCCCAATACTTTTGGCAATATAATGTATTGCCAAATGTTTGTTTTTTTAATAGAGTATGAAAGAGTTAAAACCCCTGCTAGGTTATTTTTGTTGTCTGTGTACCATTGGGGAAATTCCTCCTCTTTTCCTTTCCCAGAGACCCATCAGAAGAAAACGTTCAAATTGGAGGGTATCCCCCTCTCCCCAGAACAGATTTCACCATTTCCCCATTGAAAGGGATTTCCCCTCTTTCTTCATATTCTGGGAACAACAATTTTGCATTTCCCATAAATGTTTTTGTTGGTGACAATGGTCACTAGTATATACTAGTATATATAGAAGGATGAATCTCACAAGAGGGACTAAGGCAGTAATATAAACTTAACAGGGGGTGTAATGCTTTCCCACTCTATCTAAAACTATAAAAAACGTTTTGCTTAGATATACATTTTGTCTCCCTTGTATGCTAACTTTGTAAAAAAATATTAAGGCAGGATATTACCATGCACCTAACCAGCAGGAAGGCACTCTGTGTGCCAGATAGTAATGAACAAAATGGCCTTGTGAAATCCATAAAGGCCAAACATAATGTTGGAACCCTTTTGAGGTCTATGGGAGCCAAAAACGTAGTATTTTTCTGGCCTTTTTTCAGGTCCAATTTTCAAGCTTTTGGTAAAAAAGGGCATAGGTAGCTGGACACTGCCATAGGGTGCATGTAAAAATGTAACACAATTTTTAAACTCTGTCCTGCAGGGAGAAGATTTTTCATGAGCAACATTAAAGATACACAATTCGATTAAATAACCTCCTTGGGGATAGAATAAACCTGTATGTAAAGTGCCACATTTGTAGGCGGTACTCTAGCACATGTAACATTAAAAAAACTATTGTCCCTAAATGACAGTTCCTTTCCTGCCATATTCGGTTTGTAAAAAACTGACAGGGGGGTCCTGGGTGACATCATTGACCCTATTTGATCAGCCAGCATTTCCTGCTGGTTCATTGATATTCAACAGCCAGTTGGGGAGCTGAGCTGTCATTTGCAGTAGTGCAATGGGATAGAACCATTTTGGAAAGGGTCATCATGTACGTGGGTCATGAGTGACACTGGATACACATTGCTGGATGGTGTGACTCATGTTGGATTTGCATCAGGGAACAATTTTTTCAAATTCTTTGTTTTTTAATAAAGGACTTTTCACAGTAGGGGGAAATTTACTAAAGCTGGTTCACTCAGAATCTTGTGCACCTGGTAGCAAATCAGCTTCTAACCCCAGCTTGTTCAATTAAGCTTTAGCAATAAAAACTGGAAGCTGATTGGTTTCCATGCAGAGATTATGAGTGAACCAGCTTTAGTGAGTAAACCCCAGTCTCTCCTTATTTACCTAGTCCTTTTTATTGTAAAAGAGTACCAAGGAGGTATGATATACCCCTAAGAATTCACAATGTAAGCATGCAGCCAGGGTGACAAGGAAAGGAGGGGGAAGCAAATGTGTCGCCGCCCCCCCCCCCCCCCCCCCAATAAAAAAAAAATTATCCTAGATAAGAGTCTAGTATGCATTCCTAAGAAGAACCCCAACAAAATAGAGAAAAAAGGCCATGGGGTCCACAAAGTTTATACTAGACCATCATCTAAAACAATACATCTGTTACAGTGCTATCCTCTTATTTAAGCGCATCAATCACTAAATATAAATAAATAAAGGTAAATAACTATATAAATGAAAAAACACCTCTAATTAATCATTCATCTAAAATAAAGTGATGTGTACGCAACCAGATATCCTTAGTGGATCCACCACATTCGCTTTACATCTACAACAAAAAGACCAGTCCTTCTGAATAAGATTTAATTTACTGTAACACACAGTCCATATAACAATATAGTAATAACAATAAAGTGCTCCATGCTAAAAAATGTGACTTCTTCAGATCTGCTGCCTCCTCTTTACACTTTTTTCTCAAACGAAAGTTGTGTGCCCCCCCCAAAGTGTCACCCCACTCAACAGAGGGTGTTGCGTCTGAGCTATGTAGCTACAAGAGTCTCAACAGCTTGTATGAACTTCGCATCACCATGGGTAATCAAAATTGGTCCTCCTAGAACTCTCCTGTGGCTCTGCTTTCATATGATTGACGTCCTCCTCTAATCCACCATACCACCATCAAAGATTTGCATGCTCAGTATGCATTTTGGACAAAGGAAGGGAATCCCAACATAATGAAATACTATTTATTTAAAAAAATATAAACATTAAAATTGCACTGACTTGGTATACTGTAAAAGGCGCAAGCTCTGTATCAAAATCTGGACGCAGAAACAACACCACAGTGTGTGTTCCAAGGGCCGTATGTGACGTATTTTGTCCTGCCCCAGGGCCTCTTCAGGAACTGCAATGTCCAGTCTCGATTGTTCAATATATCCACCTAAGTGCCTCCTACTCCACTCAAACTTTCAGCTTTTTCAACCAAAATATTCAATCTATGCCTCTCGTTAAAAATAAAAAGCAAAAAAAAAAAAGTATGCGTAATTTCCAGTTTTTTAATAATAATAGTCCATCATGGATTTAATAACATATACTCAGATATGGCAATCTTACTGAACACAATATACAGGGATATGGGTAATAGTAGAGACATAGTACATCCACATCCACACAGATTTAACTGGATGGAAATATGGCTTTATTCAACCTTAACAACTATGTAACTATGTAACTATATATATGAATAACTTTTATATTTATCCCCATGCGCATAAAAGTTTTTAACATCATTTATAACTAATATGTATTATCTGAATTATTAGTATTTTATTTATAGTATTGGCTGCTAGGAGGGAACTGTAGTTAGGCTAGTCAGACAACAACTTAGTGCCATTATAGATTTCAATATCAATTTTTATTAAATTATTAACAGTCTTTTTTTGCTTTTTATTTTTAATGAGGGACATAGGTTGAATATGTTATTTTCAAATATGCCCATCGGTGTGCTATAATAGAGAGTTGAAAGTTAAGGTGGAGTAAGAGGCACTTAGGAGGATATAATATATTAGAGATCCTCCTGCGCTTGTATGGACCACCCTCCCCTTTTCCCTAGTTAGCAGCCGCTGACACTCCAACTGATAACCAAATACAGTGCTCAAAGTGAATAAATATTGTAATAGTGCACGAGTGACACTTTATCAACACACTGCATGTGCATCTAAGCATCACTTGGAAAATATTTTTCTATGTTTTTTATTTTTTAAAAATATTTTTATGTTTTTTTGGATATTGGACAATTTATTTAATATAAGTGATTTGGCACGATCACCCACTATTTATTTATTTTTGAGTGGCACTAACACTATTTTTTGAATATTTTTTATTATTACCATGTCTTATGAAGTTTTTTATTACTTATGAGTCAAATTATTTATGGTATGAGCACTTAGATCATTTTAGACACTAAGTATTGTGTCACTAGATTTATGATATTTATCTATCACGTGTATAATTAAGTTAGTTTGATTTAGTTATTTAGCGCTACACTATTATAATATTTATTCACTTTGAGCACTGTATTTGGTTATCAGTTGGAGTGTCAGCGGCTGCTAACTAGGGAAAAGGGAGGGTGGTCCATACAAGCGCAGGAGGATCTCTAATATATTATATTCATTACCTATTACCTATCCTTACCTCTAGCAGCTACTATGGATGTATTTGGCTTCTTGGAAAACAGGTCCATTAATTTAGAGGAAGTCTTTAACCAACCCGATACGGGACCAATGGGAGATCTAGAAACACAGTATAGGAAGTTAGGCCACCTAATGGAGAAGAAATTGTCTCTGTGGTGGGACATAGTAAAACACATGAGAAATACCTACAAGATAAACTAGTGCCCAGAAGAATCAGATGGGATGTACCCATCTGTGATGGATTAACAGACCCAGAAGCAGTAGATGAGTGGTTTAATTTTTTCCATGAAAAAGGCCTGGAATTGGTCATGTTCCTATTGAAAAGGAAACAAAGAAAGTTGAGAAATTTAGATAAACTAATAGGGGAGATTAAAGAAAAAATTGTACCATTTAAAGACACAGCAGAGATACAAAACTTAACGAATCGCCTCAATAAAGACCTAGAAAGAGCAGACCAGGAAGTAAAGCACAGAAAAACAAAAAAATACCAGAGAGATCTAAACGACATGAAGAAAAATCAAGTTTTCAAATGGCAATCAGGGGGTAATGAGGTTGAGCTGGCCTCAACCAATACTACTCCAGTTAAAGAAAGAGAAGAAAATAAGGGCGGTCCTGTACCAGTATACAAGAATCAACAACCTATGCAAGTGCGAGATAACATTCAAAACTATAGAACACCTAAGAATGGTTATAAACCAAAAAATGGCAATGGTGGCTATAGGGGACCCAATAACTATAATAATAACAATAAAAAAGGCCCGCCATATAATAATAGACCCTATTATCCAAATAATAGGCCGTACTACCCGCCAGGGCCCCATTACAATAATTTTCAGCCTAGACCATATATTCCAAGACCATATGGACCCAGATATGAAGGCCCAGACCCCTATGAGAGATGGGATCCCCCTAGATATGAGTATAGAAGCCCCATACCCACCTACAATAGGTTTGAACCATTGAGGCAGGAGTATAGACAAGGGGATTTTTTAGAGAGATATCAAGGGGAGAGGAGCCCCCAAAGAGAAAAAGAAAAGAGTCCAAGAAAAGGAGGGGATGCAGAGCCGGATT